AAAAAAAAAAAAAAAAAAAAAACAACCTAAAAACCATTCTGAGAAATTCCTTGATTATATTTTTCCAACATTTGCAGATTTAACATTCATCTTTGAAAACGGCACTGTAAACTTCAGCACAATGCAGATTAGTACTTAAAGTGAGTGAAGTGAGCAGATTTTGTTTCATTCACTATTATTTCTTTCCACACTTCAAGTAAGATATATTTTATGTTATATACCAGTGGTCACCAACCAATCAATCTCATTCGACTGGTAGATCATGGAGCCTCTGACAGTTGATCTCAGTCCATCAGAGGCTCCACAATTGGGAGTGGTAGGACGTACAAGGCTGAGCTGAGCTATTCCCCCTGCCGCCTGGGCTGGGCCGGGTAAGTGGAGTCAGAGCCTGGGCGGCTTGTCCAGGAGGCTGGGGGGGCTAGATCCTAGGGTGCCCTTTACTTACAAAACATGATCTTCACCATAAAAAAGATTGAAGACCACTGTTATATACTATACAGAATTACAATAGTCCGACATCTGGATTCTTCTTTTTTTTGCCTTTGCCACTGGCTGGGTGTGAGACTACAAATCAGTCACTTCCCTCCCCATATTTTAGTTTCTCCAGGTTAAAATGGGGATGATGATACTGACCTCCTTTTTAAAGTGTTTTTTCATGTATGGATGCAAAGTACTATAAATACTCAAATACTAATTTTATTATTTATGTGGTTGTCTAAACACAAGCAAATAAAATTGTTTGAGGAATTCAGTATCCTGGTTTTTCTAGACTCGTAACACCAGCTGCCACAAGCAGATTAGCTAAGCATGCTTATTTTGTATGATTTTGCTTTGTTCCTGTACAGCTTTAGCTCTGGTAAAAGTTTTAGTAGAATTTCTAAAACTTTTTGGTTCTTATTTGTCACTGGAGGTAAATGGCACAGCTCTTAACAGGAAGGTTTTGGTGTTAAGCTTTCTTACAAGACAAATGCCACATACCTCTAAGTCATTGAAAAATAAGTGTGTATCAGCCACTTCAAAAATCATCTCCTCCATTGTCAGACCTGAGCCAATCACTAGAGTTGGATCCTGAAAAAGAAGAGTGAAACGGGTAGTTTCCCCTTTGTTTTATGTTAAATATTAGCTGTGGTAAACTTGTTGCCATTGAAGTTCTCCAGGGTTCCCACTGTATGCAAAGCCTAGGATTTGTTGTAACAGTATTTTATCATAATATTCTATAGTGTGGTCTGCAAAATCCCTGAAATATTGTAAAGAGAGATGTAGTTGGCCTGAAGTCACGTGGAAAAAATGGCAAGGTGGCACTTTAGAGACTAACTTATTCAGAAAGACATAAGCTATCACAGGCAATAGTCAAAAGTTTATGCTTCTGAATCAGTTCATCTCTAGCATGCAACTAAGGTGCCACCCTACCCTGCTTCTGCTTGTAATATTGTAAGAAACTGTTGAAAAAGCAAAAAACTGCTAAAGCATCAGAACAGTAATTAAAACTCTAGTGCGGTATAGTTTGGAGAGATATATGCCCAGTAGTAGAAGAGAGAAATTGTGTGTTATTTTTCAGAGTATTTCAGAGAAGCAAAAATACTTATTTGCAAGATATGGTAGACAGTCACTAATTCATCTGAGTGATAAGAGTGTTCTTTGTTAATTGCTGGAATTTCTAAGGCTGTCAAAATAAATAAACATTATTAAAAGGCAACCTGATAATTTCTCTTATACCCTATTTTTATTTACATGTGGAGTTTTAAACAAGTGTTTTGCTGTCTGCTACTTAACTCTGCCCAAGGAAGGGTAATGTACAACTTGGAAATTTGCCTATGTCTATCATGCAAGTTGGTCCCAACCATGCAGTCAGTTCTTGTCTCTTGTGTTAAAAGGCAAAGCTTGTATACAGTCCCTATTTTTATATTGTATCTGTAATTAGTAGCAAACTCCAAAAGAACAAAGAATTATGATTTTAAATTTAAATACCAGTACTTCAAAATATTTGACAAATTTAAATCTACAAATAAAAGTCATAGTATGCTCTCAGTGTAAAAGAGCTGGTATTGTATAGTGTGTGATCTTGACTTTCATTAATGATTGCATTTGCAATTCAGAAAAAACATCAGTTTACAAGCTCTGTACTCTGAATGAAAGTTCTGGTAATCTCCATATCCTTGCTCTATATGCAATTAATAAAATAGTATTGTCTATTTTTTTTCAAACAACTTACCACCCCTTGTGGGGGGGAGAGGAACAACCAAATAAACTATGATCCAAGTAGAAGCATGCATTTTCTACTTTCTTCACCTGGAATTAAAGTTTACATATTGATAACTTATTGCATTTTACTTCCAAAAAAGCAGCAGAGCAATATTACCTTTCCATATTTCTGGGCATATGACCCTGTGAGAAGTGAATGGAAAATTATGATGGTCTCATCCAAGTCCCACAGAAACACTCGCTGGGGAAGGAATTATAAAAGAAAATTAAATCTTGAGACATCCCGATTGCCAGGCTACAATAGGAAAACAATCCTGCTCTTGCAACTACTTCATTGTTAGGGTCAATGTGCTCTATAAGAACAGCCTACCCTTTAGCAAGCTACA